TGATGGGGGAAACTCGTGTCACAGGCTCTTTAAGAGACACAAGGAGGCAAATTGTAAAATAAAATATAATAAAAGACGATTCCTCTCGGAAAAATAAAGGAAGACATAAGACAAAATGAATAGATACAATAAAATATAAAAACCTACAAAATACAATTATTATTATAAAAACGTAATTTTAATTTAAGGTTAAACGCTTAAAATACCTACTTAAAAGGAAATGTTGCGAATACAACGGTTAAATAAAATGATGTAAGTAAAAACCCATAACATCTATGAAAAAAATATATAACAATAAATTAATAGTAAAAACTCAATTCAATTTTATGGGGGGTGTCGCTAATAAAAAGCTGTTATAAAAAGATATGTGGCTTTTGTTTAAAAATGTCCACTGAGTTGACCTCATGACCTCTCCTTGACATCGAATCGGTGAGCACTTTAACATTGGTTTTACCAATCCAGAGGCCATAATGGACATGTGAGGCACAATGGCAGCTGTCAATCTTACAGATCTACAGTGAAGGTGAAAGGTCTTCTGAAGGACAGAGACTGGAGGCAGGGCAGTTCTTCAGACGTGCTTCAAGGCAACACTTGAGACATTGTCTGGGTGATAAACCCCAGAGGACGTCTGCTGGTACAGATTTAGGTTGTGTTGCACTCTTTCCAGACGTGTGGGTTGCCCATTAATACACACTGTCCTGTTTTTGGAATCCTCAGGAGGGAGGAGCCGATCACAACCTCTAAACTGATTTTAACGTCCCTTTGTTGCCTAGAAAATAGGCCAGAAAAGGTGACTCAGAAAAGGTGAGTTGGCAAAGTTTTAAAATGTCAATCTGGTCAGGTTGTCTGTTGAGCATAATTAATGTATTCTCTCAAGTGTCCTGGAAAACTCATTGACACACCAATATCTATCTAATGCTGGCGAAGATTAGCCAACATAAACCTGCTTTCGCCCCCCCTCCCTTCTCCACCCCTCCCCCCCTTCTCTTCTTCTGTAGTCCCCAGGGCCCAGGAGTTCAAAACTTTTAATCTCAATCTGTCAGGATTATTTTTGTCATGTCACGTGTCTATGTCTAGGTGTGGGTGTTTTTCCGTTCTCCTTGTCATGTTTTCCTCCCTGTATATTGTCTGGTCTCTTTTCCCTGTGTTTTCATGTCTGTCGTTAGTTTCCCTGGTGTGTCTAATTTCCTGATTGTTTTCACCTGTCACTCCTTGTGTGTCTCCTGTGCTCATCAGTGTCAGCCCCGCCCCTGATTGTTCCCACCTGTGTCTAGTTACCCTGTGTTTAAATTCCCCTGTCTACCAGTGTTCAGTGTCAGTTTGTATTGTCTCTTGTCATGGTCAGGGGCCTCATTTATAAAGCGATATAGGCTCAAAAAATGGCGTACGCCAGTTTCTACGCAATGTTTGCGATTTATAAAATACTAACTTGATGGGAAAACGTGCGGTCCTCCACGCAAACTCTAACCCATGCGTACGCACTAAGCACAAAAACGGGAGAAACGAGAAACTGCGACACCGCGTTGGCAGAAGGAAGAATGGAGAGAAATGTGTGGAAATAATACCATAAATAAAATGTTACCTCTCATTTATCATATGAAGAATTCATTTTCAAACATTGATTAAAGCCAATCTTAAAATGATTTAACAAATGCCTGTTTGAGACTCCTCAGTGCACACAAAAATATAACTTGGAGAAATAAATAAATACGGATATGTTATTGAAAACCATCTCGAATATGTTGTGTTAATGTTATGAAATGTTTTCTCATAAATGATGCGGTAAGCAGAAGGACAGAATTACGTCTAAACTGACGCCGTTTTGCATTTCTATAGGTTGTAGATACGAGCATGGTTTTATACTATCACGTTTAATCGTGTTTTATGCCGTTTGCCAAGACTTGATAAGTCGCTCGTAAAACACAGGAGGTATGGAAGCTAAGAACACCATATGTGGTAAATTGTACAGCTGATATAACACAACACATTAGTTGTATTTCCTTTAACTGGTGGATATAGGGTTGCTGCGGGGGGGTTGAGACGCACAGGCTGCAGTGGAGACGCTGCGCACAGCTGATCGACAGCTGGGACACAAACCACCAAATACAAAAACATAATTCAGATCCAGTCGTCATGACTCCACTCCGGAGGGATTCCCCGATCACTTCTTACAGTCTCTCATCAAGGGGGGGGTCTCCTGTCCCCGGTACAAACACACTGCCTGAGGAAGGCTATGTGTATTTTTTTTGTCATGAACCTTTTTCGGACCACTTATTTATTTATTTTGGTGACGATCCGACCTCCATGCTGCTACTCTGGTTCAAACTGCATCCACCAAACAATATGATTTATCTCCACCTCCCCAAAATAACCAAAATCTGACACGGTGTGAGATGTCTTTTTTAGCTGTTCTGTCGTCATTTCCTGCGATCTTCTTCATAAAGTCAGTCAGAATGAATGAATGAATGGGCGTTTCTTTGACTATTCATAGGCAAATATGGGCGTTACGTGAAGCCCGCAAAAGCTGCACCGCATTTCGAGTCGGTCGTGATTTATAAAGGGAAACCGGCGTAGGAAGTGCCATACGCACTTTCCTTGCCGGTACGCAATGTTTGGTGAATCGGGAAGTGGCGGAAAATGTATGGACCTATATTTCGGATTTCTACAACGTAAGCAACCTTCCCACGTGAATCCTACGCACAGCGTTATACATGAGGCCCCTGGTCTATGCTTTTTTGTGCTCAAGAATAGTTGTTCCTCACTACGTGAGCGATTTTCCTTTTGGTCTCATTTTTTGTCATCTCATCCTGAGATTAGTTAGTGACCTTTTTTTGTTCATCGTGTTTTTTTTGGAAAAATAAAGTATCTTACCAATACTTTACCTCTGTCTCCCTGTCTGCAATTGGGTCCAACATCCTAAGTGCCTGAGATCGTAACACAATCAGATCCGATCAGATTTTGAAATCCCATTTTTTGTGATCCAGGATCAGACAAGTCGGCCACATTTTGTCCCTGGAGTTTAAAGCAATTCAGGATAGGATCACCCTGATCCAGATTACGACTTTTCAAGATGACTAGATCCTGAATATCAGTGCTTTAATCCTACTGATCGCCATCTTGTGGATATGAAAAATAATACAAGGAAGACAAGAGACCACATTGCAGAGACATCGATTGTCCGCAATTACTTTTGAAAGGTGATGACAGATGATGGACTTTTTTTTTGTTGAAGATATTTTTAATTTAATCTAAATTACTTTTGTGTTTGACAATCTTTGTTGTGAGACTTTCATGAGCATAAACATTTATGTCATCAACATTTGGTTGAAAACAAAATAGGCCACCACAAACGTGAGCAAAAAATGAAAAATAAAATGTATTTTCCATGAAGGCTAAAAATTGTGTATTATTTCAGTTAACAAACGTTGCCATCTAATTTAAATTGAAACATTTTAAAATAAATTGTAAAGTACATTTTGCTCTGGTAATCCACTGGAAATCCACCCCTCTGGTGGGATCAGGATAATCCAGTTTTTTGGGATCAAACTGATCCCAATCCTGTGTTGTCGGTTTTGAACTACCCGTTTTGAAGATTTGATCCAGATTAAAGCTTGGATTGGATTTCCTGATCTGATCGGATATCAAAGTGATCCTAATCCTGTTTTTTGGTTTTGAACTCCCCAAAATCCAAATCTGATTTGATAGGGATTCAAAGTTTTTAACTCCTGGGCCCAGGTGATATAATGATAGAGGCTGTCCCATCCCACCCCATTCTCTATAAGCAGTTTATGAGAAATAAAGGATGCTCTATCATTTAATTAGCTGATTCAAAAATGTCAAATGAATCATGCTAATCCGGCCTGACATAATCTACGTTCTACATGTCTCAGAGCACCAACACATTTAAAACAGAGAAGAAGAAATAAAGGATTACTTCATGAACTCAAAGAGCGTCTGGGCTTTACGGGGGAGTTCATCTCGGATCCGTCTTAATGCCCCTGTGTGTGATGCAATAATGTGTTTTAAAGGGTAGCAGGGGGAACCATTGCCCTAGCCAAGTGGTTCTCAAACTTTTTCTGTCAGGCCCCCCCCTTTGGAGAAAAAAAAATGTCGGGGCCCCCCAACACAAATAGTCAGGCTCAGTGGCAGCGCCAGAGATTTATTTTGGGGGTGCTGTGGGGTAGCTTGACGTTTCATAGAGGGTGCTCAAACATTTAGGGTTTCCCATTAATGTACCGGGCGCTACAGTGGAATTTTCTACTGCAACACTCCCCACGCAAATACACAACGTACCCGCGACTGTTACAATGAAGGCTCGATAATCAGCTCACGGCATATAGGTGTAAGCAGGGGTAAAGTGCTATTTTTATAGGTGGTGTGTGGACCTCACATAGGGGGGTCCGGGGGCAAGCTCCCCCGGGAAGATTTTTAAATATTGAAGTTAACCCTTTGATACACAAGCTATGGAAACCCCCTCTAAGACACAACATGGGTCAAAAATGACCCATATTGACTTACAGTGTTATTTAATGCATGGTTGAGTGTTTCTTTGCTATATTTTTGGAAATCAACTTATTTCATCATAAAATATTCATTAAATATCTTGTTTTTGAAAACCCTAAATCATTACTTTTGTTTCTCCTTTGTTAATTACTAAACTAAAATAGTTTTTATAATATTACATCAAGTTTACAGACATTGGTCGAAAATGACCCATGTATGCAAGTGTGGTATTTAAAAAAAAAAAAAGACATAGGCCTACTGTAATAATGATTTTGTCAAAAAACATTTTAGCAGTGATTTGGACCAAAGAATAACACAATTAATATTTGAAATGTTTATTTGTCACTTTGTCACACTCACACATAGCATACACCATACAACTGATACAATTAATTTTGAACTTTTTGAACTGTTAGTGAATCTGTATTGTTACTGCAGTGAACTGTGGTGAATGCTGAATGTTTAAAATGAACTCATGAAACAAACTCATGAAATGAACTCATATGAGTAAGTTGCAATCTAGTGCATACATGCCTCACAAATCACAACAACATGTTTGTGCTCCTTGCACACAGGGCTGGTGCACTTGGAACACCAGCTGCTGGCTTTTCGATCTTTGGCAGTTGGGCAGATCTTGCACCTCTTCCTCTTCACTTGGCCCTCCTGTGGCTGGGTGGTGGCTGCGCTTACTTTTTTTAACCCACATCTTTCCATTGCCTCTGTAATATGGGTTTGGAGGTGGGACGTGCCCTCCATGCGTCTCCTCATGTGTGGCATGACCAGCTCTTTGCCCAGCTCCTTTATGAAGAGCCGCCGTGCATTAGTCACACCACCCATGTAACCAGGGTGTTGTGCAGTGTAGCTGGTGAAGGCGTTGAGGGTGGCAACATCCAGCACATTGTGCCAGAGCACCATGGGCCACCTCCGTGTTCTCCGCTTGCAGGTGTACGTGCGAACCATTTGATCCATTGTGTCCACTCCTGATTTTGTGTGGTTGTAATATTGGATCACTTCTGGCTTCCTCTTAACACTCTGGTCATCCACTGCTGTGTCATCATGCATTGTGCTTAGCAGCACAACAGCCTTCCCCTTTTTCGGGACATAGCTCACCATTGTCATGTTGCCACAGAATCCAAATTTGGAGCTGTACTTCTCTCTCAGTTTGTTTGGCTTCATGACAGGTGGTATGTCTGGCTTGTTCTGGCGAAGAGTCCCCACAAGCGTAAGGTTCTTCTCTAGGAGCTTCTCAGCCAAAGGAATGCTGGTAAAGAAGTTATCCATGGTTATGTTGCGACCTATGAACAGAACAAAAAAAATGAATGGTCAATTTAGTCAACATGTAATTCTCTAAATTCTAACATTAAAATAAACCTGATGGAATATTGATTATTATTATTATGGAGTACTGCATTGTATTTTATTCCATTCTATGCTTATAAATTAATCAATTTCTCACAATGGTAATACAAAATGAAATAGACACTATGAGAGAGTGGAAAAGTGATCTAGGTATTGTGCTAGAACTTCAAGAGTATATTCACTGTATGTATACTCTGTATTCTATATTCACCTGTGTGTCTTATTCCGCTGGACAACTGTTAGACAATATTCTCGCCAAGGTTCCTCTGAACATCCTCTCCTGGCTGTCGCCCTGTATATATCATGCCATTGAATGCATAATGGACCCTTGCATCGCACATCCAAAAGATTTTGATCCCATATTTTGCTGGCTTGCTTGGCATGTATTGTAAGAACTTGCACCTTCCACGGAATGGCACAAGCTGCTCATCTATAGTGACACAATCACTGGGGACGAACACTTTCTTGCAATTGGCCAGGAAACAGTCCCACACATATCTGAATGCAGCCATGTGGTCTGTTTCCAGTCTAACAGCCCTAGTCCTCTTATCATCAAACCGTATGAGGCGGCGGATATCCTCATATCTGTGGAACCCCATGGTGGCCTTATACATCGGATTTTGCAGGGGATCCAGAAAGAGCTCCCGCAAGGCCACATCCCAGCTCTTGTCCCCCCCTGCAAGGAGGGTCAAACCAATAAATGCCATGAATTCCACTTTGTCGAGGCATCTCCACTCTTTTCCTTTTGCTGCTGCGGCTCTGCGTCCCTCTAAGTTAGTGCATCTTAAAACCTCCTCTATGATGTTATCACTAATGAACAACTCCCAGGCATCTTTTGGTGAAATGATTGTTGAACCAGATACGGGTCCTGGACACCTCCTCAGGATGTTATGGGTTCTTGCTCTGCCTTGAGTGGGGGGTTTCTCATTCCAGTAAGACCCCTTTTTACTTAGCCTATTGGCCTGGGTCTGAGTTTCCTCTTCAGAGGACTCATCAGACGAGTCTTCTAGCTCGTCCAAGGAGTCTTCTTCATCACCAGCAACTTCAGCTTGACCCTGTGGCACATAGTCTACGTCATCATCAGAGAGGTCAGACTCAGAGTCAGCATCAAGGATTGCTCCATCTTCCTTATCCTGTTCTTGATGTAACATCTCGATGACCATTTCAGCCGTGAAACGTGAATGACGAGCCATACTCTGGATGAAGAAAATCAAAATAATATTTACAACATCAGTTGATAAATTATACAGTACACTTTTCTAATTGAAGTTTTATTTTGTTGCCCTAGCTGACATTAGCTTATACCTTTATATGACTGTATTTAAATGTATTTATTTATTATTATGTATGTATTTCCAGATTGACAAATGGGTTGAAAATAGTATAGCGTATTTATTGTGTAAGACATGATTACATTTCATACTTGATCTGGCAAGAGAGTTGGCATGTATGCATTAGCTAATATTAGCGACCGCGATCTAGAATTGACCTAGCTAACACAAGCTAACATTAGCTAGCTAGAATAGAATATGCTAATGTGATGCTAGCTAGAATAGAATATGCTAATGTCATATTTCTCTTTCCCAACAGGTAAGGATAATGTTCAAATGTTATGTGCAGTTATCTTAGGTAAAACAATTGTAAAACAAGACTTACATGAATCAGATCTGAAGACGCAGCCTGTTTCCTTCTGACAAGAGTGGAATGTGAAATGTTGTCCAGTTGTTTAGTTCTGACCAGCGCCATATTCTGACAAGTGAAAAGTTGTCCACAGTAAAAATGTTCCTAACTGCACACATTTTATAAATCAAAGGTTCCTATCAAATTCACACTTGCACGGGTCATTTCTGACCCATGTGTGGCAACTTTATGTAGTGATACAAAACCTATTTTAGTTCCAAAATATAGACAGAGAAAATGAAAAAAAAATGATTTATGGTCATCAAAAACAAGATATTTAATGAATACTTTGCAATATTAAATGATGAAATGAATAGATTTTAAAAGATATAGCAAAGAAACACAGCCATGCATGAAATAACATAGGAAATGAATGCGGGTCATTTTTGACCCATGTTGTGTTTTAGAGGGGTAGTCGTACAAAAATGATTTTTATTAAAAAAGTAAAAATGAAAATAACAATTTGTGATGATCAAAAACAAGTTACTTGAGGAATTCCTGGAATTCTGAATGGTGAAATTAATTTATTGCAAAGATATTTACAATTAAAACCCTGTCGGGTCACTTTTGACCCATGTTGTGTATCAAAGGGTTAAAAGCATCAATCTGGTGCACTTTGAGAGCAAAATGAAGAGATCTATGGATACATTTCTCAACACCCATATGAAACAGAACTGTAAACAAATTTACTTTTTCTTTATGGATATTTTACAAATCACTCCCTTTTAAACTTTTTTTTTTTTTTAATGTCATATAGTATTTCATACCTGTTTTTTATTTATTCTCTTATTTTTTTATAACTATAATGATCATATAAAAGTGTGTCTCGGAAATAATTGTTTACATTAATGGTGACCCAAACGTTTGAGACCCACTGAGATAACTTAGATTAAAGTTAACTATCTAAACACTCAGAGAGTCCTTTAGCTCACTGAGTCACTCAGTCTGACAGGAGAGGACTCTCCTCCACCTTGTTGTTGAAAAAACTCCTTATATCCGTTAGCATAGCTCGCTAGCACCAGAAGCTAACAACAACGATCTCCGGTACCGGTAGGCTCTCTCTCTCTCTCGCTCGCACACACACACACAGAGCCGAGCTTTAATGAAACACAGAGACCCAGACGTAATAGTACTGTATCATATTATTTTCGAATCAATCATTGTTCAAAATATGATTCTTTTTTTAATAACCATTATTCCTCCTGGTTTGTCGCGCCCCCACTGTCATGCCTCTGTGCCCCCCACTTTGAGAACCATTGCCCTTTATTCTGATAGCACCCGAGTGTCCACTTCCACTCCACTCACGCACACAAATATATTGTCATTGATGGTTTTGACCAAAAAAAAATATTATCATAATGAGTTTGTAATGTATTGAGCTGAGGACAGAGATCATATCATTGGTTGCAGGGCAGTTTGCATAACTCAATTAAAAAGTAAACATTGATATATGCTTACTTCTGGAAAACAAATACATGTTTATTTTCTTGCAGTGAAGAGAATATTATAAAATAATATGTAGTTCCTCACTAGAGTTAAAGGTTTTTTTTAAGGGGCCCTCTTGTGCTTTTTGGGGGTTTTCCTCTGTAGGTTGTTGTGCATGTAAATAGCCTGCAAAGGGCTCTGGTTTCAGACAGAGGGTGAAAAGAGGTGCTGCAGCACAGGCAGTATGAGAACAATAAAGAGCTTTTTGAACATTAAAGCATGGAAAAAAAGTCACAGTTGAGGCGCAACATACAAATATGAAAAATGTGCACATTCATTTGCATAATAGGGCCACTTAGTTTGTTTGGCATGTTCAAGTGTAATTTTAATATCAGGACTCCACATCGTAATCAAAATGCAATGTTATTTTCTGTTCTCTTAAGTGATTACAGGGCAAATAAAACAACACTCCTCATATGCAGCACAACACAATACAGTTTTGACGCAATACAAAATAAATGTACACGGTGACTTTTACAAGTCTAAAAGTGACCGTGGCAGTCATAAGTATGTGGGTTGTTCTTCCACTGCCGTGGAGACCATCACAAATATCTAATGCAATATCTCTTAAATACATACTGTATACATTTTGTATTTCGTGTATGGGTAAAACGATAGTTACGTATGTAACTACGGTTCTATGAATACTGGATGACCGCCAGAGGCGGTGCTTTAGCACTGGATATCTTCTGTCTCGCGCATGCGCAGGTCAAATATTTATATCAACAAAGTCACGTGTGACCTCGTATGACCCCGGAAGGCATAAGTTCCGGTGCCGTCAACGAGTTCAGTCCTATGGAATCTTCTCGCAGAAACACGAAATGCCGAGTGACCAAGAACTCTGGCGGTCATCCAGTATTCATAGAACCGTAGTTACATACGTAACTATCGTTCTATTTCATCCTTACTGACCGCCAGAGGCGGTGCTTTAGCACTGGATGACCTATACCAACAGAGTCACGAGGAAGTCTGAGTACTCACCCTATAAGGATGGCCTAGGCGGACTCTGCAGGAGGACCACACCCAGCGGGTGAGGGGCGGTAACATTCACCCTGTAGTATCTGGCGAATGTGCTCGGAGATGCCCATGTGGCCGCAGCACATATGTCCTCCAGGGGCACACCTCTGAAGGTCGCCCATGACGTGGAGACACTCCTGGTAGAGTGGCACTTTACTCTGGGTGGCAAGGGACGGTCATTCGCCTTGTATGCCTGGGCAATGACGTCCACGATCCAGTGGGACAAGCGCTGTTTTGAGAGCGCACGGCCCCTTCTAGGACCACCGTAACACAAAAAGAGCTGGTCAGACTGACGCATGCCTGCGGTAGTCTGGACATAAGCTCTAAGGGCCCGCCCCGGGCATAGGAGTCTTGACCTCTCTTCCCCCTCTCCTGATGGGGGGTCAAACCGTGCCAGCTGGATAGGCCGATTAAAGTGAGAGCGTGCCAGCACCTTAGGGAGGAACGCTGTGTTTGGCCATAAGGTGACACCTGAGCCATCTGAGTTCCACCTCAGACACGAGCTGTTCACTGACAAGGCCTGAAGCTCGCTTACACGCTTTGCTGAGGTGATGGCAAGAAGGAAAGCAGTCTTGGCTGAGAGCCACCTCAGATCTGCCTCTAACAAGGGTTCAAAGGGAGGCGAGCATAGGGCATCCAGCACCAAGGGCAGATCCCATGTAGGGGCCCTTGGGATGTTCGGGGGGGCGAAGTCTCAGTGCTCCCCTTAAAAAAAGGGATACCAGCCTATGGCTCCCCACTGTGCTGTTGTCAACCCTTGCATGTTGGGCTGATATAGCCGTCATCCAGGAGGGACTGTAGGAACTCAAGGGTAGTAGGCACCGAGCAATGTACTGGGTCCTCATTTCGCCCTTGGCACCAGTCAGAGAACAGTTTCCACCTGTTTTCGTACTGTCTACGAGTAGATGGTGCCTTCGCATTGAGAATAGTCCTCCTGACAGGCTCTATGCAGTCGCTCAGCAGTGGGTCGGGCCCTCCAGTGGCCAGACCCACAGCTGGAGGCGGCAGGGGTCGGGGTGCCATATTTGATCCTCCAGCTGAGACAAGAGGTC